AATAGGTTGATACTACTGAGGTTGAGAAACCTGCACTAGAGTATAAAGGCCTTAAAGATGGGATAATGGGCACGGTGGCACATGCCTGTAATCCCAGTGATCTGGGAGGCTGAGACAGGAGGATCATAAATTCAAGTCCAGCCTGGGTAATTTAGCAAGACCTTATCTAAAAAAAATACTGGGGATATACCTCAGTGGTAGAGTATCCCTGGTTTCAACCCCCAGTATGAAAAATCATCTGTCAACTCTTATACCTACCATTAATAAGGACTCATTTTTTGGAAGAAATATCCATAAATGCCATGTAGATCCTATTATTGGGTACTTTCCCCAGCAACCCAGTCTTCACACTGCCTTCAGGGAGTAGCCTTCCTAAATGATCTAATCATGGGTTTCCTGCCAGAGACCTCTTGATCATTCTTAACCTTTAAAGGTGCATACTGGAATGTTTATGGATGAAATTAAGTGTCTGGGTTTATTTCCAAACAATCCACTGGGCAACAGGAAGTGATAAAACAAGATTCACCATGAACAGATAGTTAAAACCAGACTGTGGGTTCATTCTATTTATATATATTTGAAATTTTCCAAAATAAAAAAAAATGTTTAAAGGCAAAGCAAATGGAATCATAAAAATCTCTATAATACCCCTCCCTATTGGATAGAGGCGGAACGTCTTATTCTGCCAGCGAAGCATTTCTACCATCTTTCTACTGTTTTCCCCTCATCTGTATCTTAGCTTGATGACAAAAGTTGGCTGGTTCTTTAGAGTATTTTTGTTCTGGAAAAATCAAATGTGTTCCAAAAAGTAATGCCTCCTGTGGATTAACTTCCATTTGACATTCACAACTTTTCCTTCCACAACACCCCCCCCCCCCCCAACAAAAAAAAAAAAAAAAAAAAAACCCACCCAACTTTGGCTAAGAGGAGAGAGAGGAAATTAACATTTACTGACTATCTATGATATGCAGGTGCTTTTATTTTCTGAAGCTGTGTGGTGGAAATATGAAGGAAATTCAGTACTTCAAACATTTAACATGCTGAGAATTAAGTACTGCATATAAATCATGACAAATTTGGGAAAGATATTTATTGCTCTTTTCTGTCCATATGACCATTTCTCTCGGTGTGTACTCTGTCACAGTTTTTTAAAAAAAATCATCACTGGCATGGTGTAACCATTTTTACTATGTAAGACCAACTGTTCTCGAGTGCTGTAAAGAGTAGTCACAGCATCCAAAGCAAACATGCCTATACTTCAACATGTTTCTGAAAAATATGGTAAGATGGCCTTACCTCAACTATTTTAATTGTTTTGCCATAAATCATAATATGCATAAACTATTCAAGTTTTCTGTTTGTTTATAATCCAAAGTCACAGAACTTTTCCTGAACTTTACTACACTATTAAGCAGACTCCGCATTTCCTTAGCCCTTTAGAGGAACAGACGTTTTTTTTTTTTCTCCCCCCCTAAAATTCATCATCTTCCTTCCAGTTCATATTCTTTAGGGTATTTAGGTGGTACTGCAAATACCTATGTGATATGGAATGAAGAGGGGGAAGGCAGAAGAGAAAAGGAATATGAAGAGAGAGCTACCTGTGTTGTTGGTAATTTTTATTAATAACTAGCACCATGTTTCACCTGAGAGAAGGCAGAGTTTGAGAGCACAGGTTATAGAATCAAAAAGCCTGGATTTAATTCCAGATCTGCTTTTATAGATTGCATGACTGTTGGTAAGTTATTTAATCTCTCTCTAAATGCAGGTGCAATGAGGATTAAATATAACCCACAACATTATAAAAAAGTAAATGCTTAATAAATGTTGGATCCTCACCACCACCAGGACCACAATCCATTGTTAAAAAGTTTAAGTAGATAAAGAATGATAACCATTGGGCTGGGGATGTGGCTCAAGCGGTAGCACGCTCGCCTGGCATGCGTGCGGCCCGGGTTCGATCCTCAGCACCACATACAAACAAAGATGTTGTGTCCGCCAAAAACTAAAAAATAAATATTAAAAAATTCTTTCTCTCTCCCTTTAAAAAAAAAAGAAAAAAGAATGATAACCAAGTGATGGTTCCCATAAGGACTTAAAGATCAAAGGTGGCAGAGATGTGCTCAGGGAGACTCCACTAAAAACAGTGACTGGAGGGTGAACTCAGAATTACTTAGGAAGTCTTGACAGCCTGTTCTCCCTGTGTACAAGAGGAAAAAACACGGGTTTGAGGGATACTCATGCTACTGACAATGGTAATCACCACTCTCTCTGCCTGGTGCTCTGCCTCTATCTGCTGACCCTGAAAACCCAACACCCAAAAAAGTAAGACAAATCAAATGCCAGGGAGAGCTGGAGATTCCTTCACAGGGCACCTATGTAACAAAAGGACAGTGGAACATCCCTTGGTTAGGAAATTTTTATCCAAAAAGTTAATCCCAGCAAATGATTTGCCTGCTCCCAGGAAGAACATTCATGATGCTATTATTATTATTTCAATGAACCTATGGTATTTGGCCAATGATTACAAACCCTTTTTAAAGGACTATTCTAATTCACTGTGAGACAGAAGAAAACATGCTAACTCCAAAGGTCTGCAATAGGTGAAGAGTTTAGAGACAAAGAAAATATACATAAAAGGGGGAGGAGTCATTCTAAGAGTTTAAAACTGTTAGAAATCCCACCCATTTGGTGCTGTCAGCGAATTTGCATATAGCCTCTGGGAAGCTGGCCTACTGTTTAACCTCATGAATTTAACAAATCTAAGTAATAACATGCTTCTCCACTAAAATCTAGTCTCAATTAGCAAATCTCATGAAATTGCTTTGATATTTGGTAAAACTTTCCTCTTGAACTTTTACGTAACAAAATACACTGAACTCTCAGTGTAATTACACTAAGTTTAAAGAAAAGTAATTACCTAATTTACAAGAAAAATTACTTAGAAAAATACCACCAGACTTTAAAAAAAAATGAATGAATTGCTGGAAGTTATACTGCTGCAATATTAATGTGTAATTATTGTCTGGCATGAGAAAAAGCAAGCTGCTGCCTACAATTACCCACAGAATTACCTCTCTCAAAATAGGTGGGAGCAACAGATGGAGTTCGAGGAGCTGCTGCTATTGTTAAACCACTTTCACAGGACAAAACAGAGCCAACTGTTGCCTAATTGTTTCTTTGCAACACAACTAATTTATTCTTATTTCTTTCCCCTGAACCCAATAAAAAGGAACTCAGATTTGTGCATCCCATTTAAAGAAAGATGTCTGTTGTAACTTTCAAATGGTTGAAAACCAACCAATAAAATAAAAATAATAAAAAATTTTAAAAAAACAACAACAAAAAAATGTGGAGGACCTACTCCACATCTAACAGGTACATTTCAAACTGACTTCAGGATGGCTGGGAAATGAATTAAAAATTATTTTGCTCCATCCAGCAGCATACTTGAGTGTTGCAGCTGGAAGTCTGGAAGCCACCTGATCCAAACCCCTCCTCTCCAGATGGAGAAAATGAAACTCGAAGAGGTGAGGAGAGTTCTCTGGAGTCTCCCAGCCAGTTGGTGGGGGAAAGTCAAGAGTGGTGGCCCAGGCTCCTGGCACTGCGCCAATACTCTCCTCCTATACTCGCCTTCCTTTCTGACATGGGCATGGCCCTAGGAAGAGGGAAGCTGCCACAGACAGATATGACAATTGGAATGGCACAGCTATCCACAGAAGGGTAACTCAGCCAAATTAGAAACTGGCCAGCACCCACATGCCTCTGTTCTGGTAGGTCCTGCCTGCTCCAGAGCCACCCCAGCTGCCTAGTTCTGCCAAATATCAGGCCAACAGTGCTCAGATCAGAAGTGCCCTCTTCCGGTGGCCCCAAACCCAGCCATCAGGTCTCCCTGCTAATGCCAGCAGCTGGAGCCAGCCTGCTCACTGACTTCTGACAAGGCCCTTGGTATCTGGCTTCTCTCTGTCCTTCAATGGGGTGGGAGGTGACCTGCGGCTCCAGCCCTGAAATATCTCACCCTGGAGGTTTGGAATCCACTTTCATTCTCCAGCCTCCTCTCAGTTTGACACCCTGACACAGAAATGCTTCTGGAGAGTGACAAGTTGTTTCTAGACAGAGACAACTATAACTGACCAGATATCCCATGTGACATTTACTTCCACCCCTCAGATGTTGACAGCTGCCTGATGTGCTCACGCTTGTTTGTGCCCCCTGGAGCTGCAATGTAGTCCCTGTCAGATGCTCCCTTCACAATCCACAGGGCCTCATCTCCATTCCTGACATCCTCTTAGGGCCCAGCTCTGCTTCTCTGCTGGTCCAGCTGGCCTGATTTACATCAAGTCTGGCTCTGCCTTGCCTGTCCTCCCATTTACTGGTGCCACCCCCTCAAGGCACATCCTTTTCTCTAGAAGATGCGGCTTGCTGAAGGTTCCTGATGTGTAAGAAGAGAGACTCTTAGATTTGGGCAACAAATTTGATTGTATAAAGTTATAAAAACTGAATTATAAAATGCATTTGGGGTGATGGTTCTCCATCGTCTTTCTACTGTGACTCCCAATATGAACAAGGTTAACAGACACAATGCTCTCTCAAAGGCATCTGCAATTTTGCCAAAGTATTACATTAGCTTGTAGCCAGCACCACCACTAGCCATGGATCATGGAGAGATGGGCTACAGACTGGGTGCTAGTCCCAGAACACCAGAGATAACTTTAAGCCTTTGTTCCATACCACAAGGAACCAAGAGTGATCTAATGAGATCTAACAAGAAGAAGAGTGATCTGATTTTTGAAAGAAGACATACTTTGTAAATGTATTACAACTTAATCACAATGGCAGTAGGAGAACTAGCTGAAGAAAAGACTCTTTGGAAAAGAATCCCTTTCTAAAGTTAATAACAGGTCCTTAACTTATCTCTTGAATAAAACTGAACTTCATAGTATTGAATAGTTTTAGGAGAATCCTTTGGGCCCCTATTCTCTGACTGAGCCCCTAATACGTACCTTTAGGTTCTGCTTGGTGGACCACTGCCAGGGGCTTGGTGAATGTCTTCTTATTCTGCATCATGGCCCAAATCATGGAGGCATCCAGGGAGGTGCAGGCTTCATCAGGAGGTACGCACTACAGGGAGGAAGAGCAAAGCAGTCAGAGGTCACTCGAAAGTGCCTTTGCCAGCCCAACCTGCACAGTTGTTCTGTAGCCCCTTATCAGACAGCTTACAGCTGTTTACCATGGAAAAACAGGAAATTTGTGTGTTTTTCAAGAACCCTAAATAATCAGGGAGATATTAAGGCAGGTCCACTATATTTTCAGCTGCCCTGGAAGATGCAAACATCACTAGATGGCTTATAAATATTATCATCCCCAACCCTTCTTCCTGAAAAACAACCCAAAGTTTTAGAGTTAGTTTGAAAAATAGGGGAACTGTATGATGAATGCTGGCCCTTCACCCAGTTGGCTTCATAGAGATGGCTTGTGATAACATTTGTGATAAATGTTTGTGATTTGTGATTGTGGGAAACTTCATATATTGCATCATGTGGTTGACAGATTTTATATTTGTTATCTAAAAAGATAATAGTATTATTAAGTTTGTTTGATTTTTTTCAAAATCCTGGTATAGGCACTGCAAAATCAAACTTTCCAGGGTCATCTGCTTTTTGAAAAGAGGGGAGTACAGGGCATTGAATCCAGGACCTTGTAAATGCTTTACCACTGAGCTAAGCCTCCAAGCCCAGGATCATCTGCTTTTAATATTCTAAAATGCAGGTTCTAAGGAGTGGCACCCAGGTGTGTGGACCATGAGATCAGCCACTTGTAGCTATTTTAAGGACTCAAATGGGAAGATAGTGGTAACAGCTCATCTTAAACCTCTGCTGCATCACAGCTACTGTCTCACCTATTCTTCTAACCAGAGGGAAGCCAAGTACTATTATCCCAGCTTACAGGTGAGGACATAAAGGATCTGAGGGGCTGAGGGACTTGCTTAAAGTCCCCTGAGTGCAGCAGGCCTTTTTTCTCTCTTCCCATGCCCTTTCCACTATTCCCTACCTTGAAGGTAAACGGTGATTTGAAATTCAGGATCATATCCCATCATGTGATCAGAACTTGGGACTCAGAACTCTCCTTGGAGAGTTCTGGAAGGAAACATTAGAATTAATTTTCACAGACTGACACACTGCAAAGCTGTTCCAGAAAGAAGTAACAGCCAAAATCACCAACAAAAATCCCTAAAAACTGCCAGTCCTCCTCTCCTAAATACCCAACTCCTAAAAGTTATCCTTCTGCCTGCAGGAAGTGACTGGGGCCCACAGCTAAGCACCGAGCTCCCCATGACTCTATACCATCCACTAAGCCCCAATCTTGACAGCCACTGGAAGGTAAATGTCCACCAGCCTAAGGTATCCATGCTTCCAAAAGCAAAGAAATTGATATAAGTCACCTTATATGTGTCCCTGATGATTATCATCAGATTTTTTGTTTTCACATATAGACATTTCATATATAGACATCATATATAGAATTTTCATAAATTCTTAAAGAAATGAGTTCCCAAGGAAATACAATAGTGCAAGGGATTCAGATCAATGGCAATCTATTTGATAATGATAATTTTCCCTCTTCTAAACCTATTTCCTATGGCCTATATATTAAGTGAGAGAATTCCATATCTGCATTATTAATGATACGGCTTGATTCTTAACCTTGGAGATATCAATTGATATGTGAGTACAAAGGATGAGAAGCTAATTTACACTGTGTGGTATCTATGGAATAAATACACATTGGAAATTATACATCATCACAATAGGATGCAGAAACGAAACTACAACAGAAGACACCTTTCACACACAAGGCTGACCTAACGAGGCATCATCATAAACCTAGTAGAGCGCTTCATGAGCTATTCCAGTGAGGCCAAAGGGCTCTGATTTCTGTTGTGGCAACAGAATGCAGTGGTTCAATACAGGGAGCGATATGAGGCAAACATGATGAACTGATGTAAAACTGAGAAAGAGTAAAATAGTTGTTAGTTTCCCTTAGAAATCTTCCTGAAACCAGTCAACCTTCTAACTCACACAGAGAAGGTCAAAAAAGCAATTGCAATCCAAGTCTCAACGGGACTTGGAAAAATTAATCCTCATGCTGAACTTGTCCTTTCGGCTCCCTGTACTTCTGGCACTGCACACTGCACACTATCTGACCAGCAGAGATAAAGCCAGATCTCTCCCTCAGTGGAAAACAGTCCTGATTTATCACTCGTAAGGTAATACTAAGTAGCACACATGGAAGGAAAGAAAGAAAAAAATCATACTGTCAGGATTTATTCTCTAAGACTCCATAAAACTCACAGCTCCCTGCTCACTCTGACTTTATTACTTCAATTGGGCAATTCCAAAACCAAAAACCTCAACCTGCGATAACTGGGGATTAAACTTGCCCAGTAGGTCACTGCATCACCTAAAAATGTCAAAGTAGCGGTCTAGATGGATGAAAGCCCACTAACCTTAGGCAACTTCTGGGGGTCCTTCTCTTTCTTGGTACATAACGTCAGTTCACACTGTAGGAAGAGCAGTGAGGTATTGAACATGGGCTTAAAGACAAAACTGAATCGCTTCTTATCCATCTCGGCTTGTGGGATAGGAAAGTGCACTCTCTTGGGGCTGTAGAATTTCACAGACTCATCTTTAGGACATATGTTCTCAATGATGGTATAATCAGACATCCTGTCAGGGTTCGAATATGGAGAGATAAAGCATGTTTGGATGGCAAATCCCAGTTCGTGGTCAGCCTTAGTGACCGATACCTACAAAAGATCAGAAAAATCAATTCAGAAACAAGTTAGCATCTTGCTTTTACTTGAGGGCACAAGGATAGCATGCTGACCTAGCCCTTCAGATGAGACATTACTTTATTTTCATAACATATGCATAGACTTCTTTCTAACTACAAAAGTAACATACGCTCATTGAAGAAAGGTATTTTCCACTTAAATTTGATATGGATGATGACAGTGAATTATTTAGCTCAAATGCCAGCCTGGAAGTTTCAAATGCAAGATGAATAAGTCTCTTCAACCCCCCGTAAGTCCTCTGAGAGATAAAAATAAAAGCACACCACGCGTTGAAGTGAATTGTCCAAAATAAGTAAAACACCTACAGCAAAGCCATAATAATAGTGTTTTGCTTACAGAACAAGCTCTTTTTAAAAACTTGCTCAAAAAGTAGAACACAGAGGCAGAATCCCTAACTTTGTAGGGAAGACTGAGTTTCTAAACCATAAATCAGGGGGCTGGGGATATAGCTCAGTTGGTAGAGTGCTTGCCTCACATGCACAAGGCCCTGGGTTCAATCCCCAGCATATCACCAAAAAGGAAAAAAACAAAAACTAAACCACAAGTCAGATCAAACCTAAAACATTATAACAGATTCATCTGAGCTCCTGCTTAGTCTGTGAGCAGGCAGAGCTGAGCTCTGATGCTGGATGTCAGGGACAGTGCAATCTGGTGGCCATCATGGACCTGGCAAAGTGTCCCAGCTGCTCACAGGACCAAACCAGCCTTGCCAAGTACTCTCCCTTCACTCTTTAAGCCCAGGGGTATTTTAAGGGAAATCTAATCTGGAAACATTTCCAATTCATTTACACTTCCTTCTTACAAAACATTTGTATGGGCCATGTCCAAATCTTGTTAAGGTTCTTTTCTTTAGAAACAGGAAATAGTGTTTAGCCAAGTGTAAACAGAATTCAAACATCAACTATCCTGAACTCAGCTAAAATCCCTAGAACAGACTGAATTCTCCATTTGGTGACACATGGATCATGGCATGGACTGCCCTCCCCCTTCCATGCCTCATTCCTTAACTAAATTTAGGATCAAAATAAACTTAAACACTTTTAAATAAAGTTAGTCCTCACCCCCAGGCCAGTAGCCCCAGAATCCTTTCAAAAGACATGGAGATATAAACAAACTTTCCATTCTGAGATACCCAGGGGAAACCCCTGACATTGCATGGAGCTCTGAATCCACAGCACTATTGTGAAAGATGCCTGCATGGTTAACCATGAGGCACTCAACAAATAGATGATGAGGAGCAGGAGGATGCTAATGAATATGATTATGATACCGCAGCTTATGGTGACACTTGGTGATATTTCAACTTCCTTATCTTTGCAACAAGATATTCTATAGAACAAGATATTCTACTTTGGAAAGGTGGTAAATTTTATATATTCTACTAGTAACGTGTCCTTTAACATGAACTCAGAACTCACAATGCAAAAATGTGTAGCAAAGGAACATCACATCTTTTCTTTCTCTCAAAGAAAGTATGTAATGGCAGAATATCTAGGGGATCCCATTATTTTTTTTTTTTTCTTGGAAGGGAAAAAACATTATCAGTAAGTCTTTTACTCTAAGATAGACCAGAAATGAGAATACAGGCTGTGAAATGAGACATGTCCAAGAAAATCACATGCTCTTCTGTTCTCAAATATACCAAGATTTAAAGTTTCCTTACCTACAAGGACACATACAAGATATAGTTATTGTGAGAATTAGTAAAGTTATATGCAAACAACACAGCTCCCAGAGTTAATAAATACCATCCATCTTTAGCAGTATAATTCTAGATTTAAATTTTGGGTGTTATAAACAGTTGTTGTTGTTTTAATTCTCCAAGACAAAAGAACCAAACGAAAAACTGCCATTATATTACCAACAATTATCCAGATACGACCAAGGAAGAGGTGGCAAAACTGATAATGTCTTAGGTTAAAGTTAGGACCTGTGGTTAGAGAAAACAGAGGATTCAAGGAGGGGATAAGAAGGATGGCTAGGAGAAAAAACTGGGAAATTGTTCTTTAGGTCAAATCAATGATTTATTAAGTCTTTCTTAACCTAAGTAAAAAATTTTCCTACCAGCAGTGGAGTCCAAATTGGAAACAAAGACAAGACATGCCTGGTTGCTATCCTAATTTACCTAAACATTTACAGATTCTCTCTCCTATTTTAGGTATTTTAAATCAACTAAGAAAAAATAGTTTATAAAATTTCCCCATCCCCAAAATTTTCAATGTGTTTTATATTTAAAATGGTAGCAAAAAGATATAGTTCACTTTTTACCAAATTTAAGTTTGAAATGTATAGATGATATTTGAAAAGAATAGAAAAACAAGACTGAGGAAAAAAAAACTTTACCAATAATATATTTCAAGTAAGCCAGCATTGCAGAGGAAAAATCCCCAAATATCCAGGGCAAGATACACAAAGAAGATTAGCCACTGATCAGCATAAACCAACAATGCCATAAATTAGCAAAGCCAGGCACACATTTGGAAAAGAACAAACTGCAGTTGAGCAGCACCCCTAAAATCCACAGCACAACAGGGAGTCATTGACCAACTGCATATGTGGATTGTGCAGCCAGAGGATGACAGCAATCTTGGATTAGGGAAAATCTATGATTAGGAACAGCATGTAGAAAGCAGTGAATTTTCCCCAGTCGTGAAAGAAGTGTACCCTAGAAAGAGAAGCACTCTCCAAACAGGGAGTTAAAGAGGAGGGGCAGAATCCATATGATTAAGGAAAACAACATCCAGAGCCAGAGGGCTCCGTCCCAGAGCCAGTGCAGATGTGAGAGTTGTTGGTCTTTCCAAAACAGAAATATGTGCACTGAAGTCACTTTTAACATATGGAAGTATCCTATTTCGACCCCTTAAGCTTCTCACTCCTTCCTTCTCACTCACAGTGAAGTAGAACACCAGCTTGCAGCTTAGCACCAAAGCCAGTTTGTCAGATGCCAACTTCCCTGTAAGACCAGGTTGTGCCCAGGGTACAGGAATAGAGGACAGTCTGGTGCCATGCGATTTGTCTTTAGAATCCAATCTGTGAACCCGGATGTTTGCATTGATGAGACTTCATATTTTCTTCTCTTTCAAATGGCACTTTGAGGATAAATGACAGCAGTGTCTAGGGGACATGCAGTCACATGGCCTGACAGAGAACTCTGAATCTGAATTCTACTGAGTACTAGTTGTGTGAACTTGGACAAGTTTGTTCCTCAACTTTTTCATCCATGAGATGCAACCATTATTAGTCCCTTCTCACAAAATTGCTCGGAAGAGTTAATTACTATAACAACAGTATTTGGCACATCATAAATCAGCAATAAATGTTAGCTGTTACTTTTTCATTATTACTTTCATTATTACTATCTAATATTCTGTAGTCCAGATTTGTGCTATGCATGATCATCACTGTTTTATATAGTAAACATTTTTAATAAATTTAAACAAATACTTAGATAATGACTTAGAAAAAATTATCTTCTTTCTGTATTTTTTATTTTTGTTGTTGGTGGTGCAGGTACTGAACCTAAGACTTCACACATGCTAAGCAAGTGGTTCTAACACTGGGCCACATCCCCACCTCCAAAAAAACAATTTTCATGAGATATGATAGCACTGAGCATTTTGCTTAAAAGTGAATGTAAGGGGCTGAAGTTGTGGTTCAGTGATAGAGCACTTACCTGTCATGAGTGAGGCCCTGGGTTTGATACCCTGCACTAAAATGAAAGATGAGTGTAATTTAAAAGATAATATGTGAGGTTGTTTGAAATATTACATGGTTAACTCTGACGTGGCAACTACTAAACTATGGCTCCAAATATACTAAGATCAAAGCAAACATAAGGTTTTATTAGTAGAATTCATGCCCTGCCCATTTTTAAAAAATATTCACCTATTAGATTTTCTCTTCTTCCATGCATATATGATTATGCCAATATGAACCCCACTATTGTGTATAACTAGAATGCACTGAAAGAAGCATTATAAAGAAAAAAAAAAAAAGCCAGGCATGGTGGGTCATGCCTGTAATCCCAGTGACTTATGAGGTAGAGACAGAAGAACTACAAGTTCAAAGCCAGTCCCAGCGATCTAACAAGGCCCTAAAGCAACTTAGCAAGACCCTACTCAAAATTTAAAAAAATAGAAAGGCTTAGGGATGTGGCTCAGGGCTCTAGTGCCCCTGGGCTTAACCCCTGGTACATTAAAAAAATAATAATAATAAATATTAAAAAGTCGCTCTCTCTCCTTTCGCATAATATATGAGATTTTGAGATTTCTCACTTTGTTCAGAAAGTACCCTGGAAGTGTTTTCTCAGCCAAGCCTTTACCCAGAGCTACAGGCTGTGAGGAGGCACAGGAAGAGGCCCATATAGGGTGCTAATATCCCATGAACAGCAATTCAGCACTAAGCTGAAAGCTTGAGGATAATATTTCGGTCTCACCTCAACAAAAATGTGCCCATTCTCTGCCACAGAGAAGACCCCCTGGGAAGGCACCAGAAACAGGTCAGTGTTGTATAGCTCCATGTTGAAAGTGATGTTTCCATTGGGCTGGTCCTGAAAACTACTGGGATTCCCCAGCTGCCGCAGGCTGCAATTAAACTGGGAAAAAAAAAAAACAAAACAGAGATAAGGATAAATCAAAATCACATGAAGGATGAAGCCCCTCCTAGTTATATGAGCTTTGTGACATTCAATCTTATTGTCTAACAGTCCCCAAAGCAAGTCAACCAAATGGACAACATTCTCCACAAACTATATACTAAAACCAACACATACTGAGATTTCAGGTCGGCTCAACAGAGAAGCATCTCCTTCATCCATATCACCAGGAAATCCATTATCACCTGATTCCAAATCTTCATAGCCATCTGGCCAACCACTACTATCCCCAGGGGATGGAACCTGTATCACAACCTAAAAGGCAAAGAAAGCACAGCCATTGTTAAAAAAAAAAAAAAAAAAAAACACCAAACCAGTGCATCAGGTTCTGTGAACACCATGTGGCAATTCAGATGCAAACTGAAAATTCGACTTTAATATAAAAAAAATATCTCCAAACTTTTAAGGATTTCACCTGTGATAAATAATAAGGAGAAGCCCAATGCAGGTCCAAGTTAAGATCTGAACTAAGACTTGTTTTCCCTTGTGAAAAATACAGATTCATTTTACAACTACATTGAATAAATAACAATTATTTCAAATAGTGGGAAGACCCTAGACACTGAATCGGAGTTAAAAGGGCTGTCAACAGGCCTGTCTTATTGTAAGGAAAGCTTCTCCTTATAGGTCTTTATATTTGATCTCTAAGAAATGCTAAAAGCTGAATATTGTCAGGAGCTTTAGTTATTATTACCCTTCAAACTTTGTGGAAAGCCTAGATTGAGATAGAAACAAAGAACCTGATGTTTACACTGGAGACAGTCTCCTCCTCTTTTCTTTATACTACTCTTTTGCTCATTTCTCCCCTAGTATCTTTCTGTATGGTATCTGGGTACAGAAAAGAATATGTTCTAGTCCAAGACAATCTATCTTACACATTGGTTGAAATTATTGTTCCTAGGTTAGTTCTTAATAAGATTAAAAAAAATTTACCCAAGGACCGTGGCTCCACACACACACAAAAAAAATTCTGAAATTGATACAAAACAAAAACATATAGTAACATTACTATAAATAGTTATAACTGGAACAAACAGTTAAAATATACACTGAAGGGAAGAGAACGAGGGAAAATTGACTCTCTTTTTGCCAGGTTCTCAAAAGAAAGTATTGAGGCAATTGAAATAAATGTCCAGGATGTTGCTTACCCAGGACATCATCACAAAGAAAATAAAAATAATGATATGCCTTTCTTTCTTGAAGGAAAAGACACCTTTTTGCCTTAACAGGCAGATCATCACACACTTTTATTGATGTTAATTTGGAAACCAGTTTTAAAATGCCCAAGTCAAGTCTAGCAGTAATGTATGCCAGCCAGTATATAAGGAGAAAGTGGATAATTCCAAGAAAACTAGTGTCATAATTAGTAGGAAAGTCAAAGGTTAATAAATTAGTTATTTGGGTAACAAAGGGAGATTAGCTAGGTCAGCCTGTTATGAAGATTAGTGGATGAAAGAATTCAGTTCTGACTCTGCCATTAACTAGTCCCTTGAACCTAAACAAGTTTTTTAACTCCCAGGAGTTTAATTTCCTCACCTGTGAAATAAGGAAATTGAATGAGATCATCTGAGGATTCTTTCCAGTTGCAAGATCCTGAGGTTCTCTAAGGAACAATAAACTTGGGCCCACAGGAGAGCCACTCCCCATATGAACCACAAGGACCACAGCATGTGATCTCTAGCCTCCTCCCAGTTGGGTCAAATTTATCTGTTGACAAGCAGTGGCAAGAACCAGCAGCCACAGTCACCCCATCCCATGTCAACACTGGAGTAGGTGCTTGGAGCCCACAGACACACACTGCATCAGAGGTAGACAAGGGGACTTCTGAGCCTCATTTTTAACATGAAAAGTACAATCCAAACTCTAAAATCAGCACTTTGAAGTTTTTTGGGGATTTCATCTTCAAATTCTTTTACTATTCACTGCCTAGTCTTCATCTCCTAGAGAACAGGTTTAATCTGAAAAGATTTAGATAGTCACAGGAAAGATTTTTTTTCTGGGAAGTGAAATTTAGCTATTGCAATGGATTATCAATGAGGGCTATCAGTGGAATCCTTCTCCAGGTACTTTCAAAGGAAATTTTCTTCAATTTAGGGTTTTTTTTTTTTAGAGGTGGAGAGAGAAAGATTTAATAATTACTTAAAGGTCCTTTTCAGATTTTAAATTCTCTCTCTGATCGTTATATTTATGAGACAGAGTGAAGACCTCTCACTCTGGACAAGACTCAAACGAGACCAGAGAGACCATACACCTGGTTAGAGCTGTTTACACATAGCCCAAAGCCTTGGGTTTTGTCCCAGGCCATTTGGACCTGCAGCTTCGCCATAGAGAGAAGTCACAATCACTTGCCAAAGAACCCTCCATCAGGAGATGGAAGGAAGGAGTGGATGAGATCATCACGATACCAGATAAGGAAACAGGGTCTTCCAACTCCCAAAGACTCACCAACAAAGCAAATGAAACAGAGATCAGGGTCAAAGTGCATCCCATTTTGTTGAGAACTAATATATGGCTTTACTCAGATCCCCCCTCATTTCCATAGAAACATTAAGATGAATTTTAAAGTAATGCCCAAAAGTGCTTTCACAAAGGACAAAGCTTTGTTCTGGAGAACACTCACAGAGTTAAAGTAAACCACACCATCAGGGGCTGATCGCCGGTGCGAAGTACCACAGCCATTCAGCGGAGACTCCAAAATGAAGTGGGTATCATTCATCTTGGCCTTGCAGGAAGAATCCCGAAGGGTGAGCTCCATCCCTGAGTAGCCATTGGCCTGAAACAACAACCAACAAAGGCATAATGGGGGGCTCACAGGTAGTGCTGCCACACACAGTTCACACATGCTGCCAGGTCTTCACCTCTCCCCACTTACCTCTTCCCAGCTGACCACCTGTCAACAGCCCAAGGACTGTGATTGCTGGCCTTGGAAATTCAATAGCAAAATATTGACACATAAGGATTTGGAACTCCACTGCTCCTACCCCGCCCCTCACTGAGAACAATAGAAACCAGGTAAGAATCGAAGACAAGAGAAAGTGGGTCCATCCAACAGAGAAAACAGCATCAAGTGTCCAGAATTCAAAAGCAAGAAAGCTAGAAGGAAATAATAAACACAGACTAGGGTAAAATGGGGAAGGAGGTTGGCCTCTCCTTTAAGAGACTGTACTAACCTGGAAAGAATCTTTTTCTACAGCCACGGTCATCTTTTCATTGTCACATCTGACTGACAGGGCAACACCCATGCTCCCCTGCACCTCTTCTGGCTCTCTGGGACCAGGAAACAGTTGTATGTTGGGGATGACAGAGTCCCTTGGATGGGGGATTCTATCTTCTCCCTCTTCCTTCCGGCCTCTCCTGGAGATATCAGGGAAAGGAAAGGGGAGACCTCCATTTCGGCCTCCCCCACCCCGGAAGGGTGGTTTATCTGGGGCAGGCAAGGAGCCAGGGTCCAGGAGAATCCGTAGCTCAGGAGGAATGGTATGGACTTCCTCATCTCTCATCTCCTCTGTGGTGACAGAAGAAGGCAAAACATCATTGGTGTGTGATGCTAGGCCACAACCATCATCATTAGAAGCAGAACTGGAGGAATTAGCACAGAATTGGCAGGTGTAAATGCACATTTAACAAGCAATGTATAAAAGTGATTAGGAGTCTATAAGCCTGAATTCTAGTCTTGGTATCTAATTAGCTAAGTGGTTTTGTGCAAATGGCTTTCTTCTCTGTGTCTCAGTTCTCAATTTTTAAAATTAAGGGGTTGGGTCATATTCATGATCCTCAATGTTGGCTGCATATTAAAATCTCAGAGATTTCAAAAAAAAAAAAATCCTCACTGCCCAGGTTGTATCCCAAGCCAATTAAAACTCAAGACTCTGGGGTAGGAAATATTTTTTTTTCTACTTTTTAAATAATTGGTACACTATAATTGTACTTAATGATGGAATTTATTGTTACATATTCATACATGCACATAATATAACAATATAATTTGGCTAATATCACTTCCCAGCACTTTCCATATCCCACCCCTTAGTCCCTTTCCTCTACTGACTCCCCTTTAATTTTCATGAGATTCCAGCCTCCACCTTTCTTTTCCTTTTTCCTCTCCAGCTTCTACATATGAGAGAAAACATACAAGCTTTGACCTTCTGACTTTGACTTATAATTGTTAAACATAATGGTCTCTAGTTCCATCCATTTTCCTGCCAATGACATAATTTCATTTCTCTATGTGGCTGAATAAAATTCCATTGTGTATATATCCATTCATCTGTTGATGGACACCTAGACTGGTTCCATAGTTTGGCTATTGTGAATTGTGATGCTATAAACATGGGTATGCATGAATCACTATAGTATGATGACTTTAATTCTTTAGGATAGATAAATACCAAGGAGTGGTATATAGCTGGGTCATATGGTAGTTCCATGTCTAGTCTTTTGAGGAACCTCCATATGATTTCCTTAGTGGTTATACTAATTAACAATCCTACCGATAATGTAAAACTGTTCCTTTTTCTCTATATCCTTTCCAGGGCACAATTATCAATATGTTTTAAGCTCCCTAAGATTGAGAACCATTATGGTAGATGACTTCTAAGTTCCTACAAGTAAGAAAAGTCTGACTAGAGTAAGTTATATAAGGCAATATATTCTTCACAAATGCCATTAAAATACTTTCCCTGGATCTAGAAATCTTTTGAATAGTTCCTCAAAAGATTTCTTGACATGATATTAATATTTATTTGTTTATTTATGACGGTGCTAGGGTCTCAAGCACATTAGGTAAGTGTGCTACCACTGAGCTCACCTCCACCCCCAATACTGGCATTTAAAAATTATTTTACTGCCTCCTTTTTGACTGCTATACTCTAGAAGCTATTTGGGCACCCTGACTTTAAAATCATAATTCCCAAAGGGGAAAGAAAGAGCTGCTTAGATACAGTTATTTCTTTGAAGGAAGAGGTATTTCCATGCAAGTAATGCTCAGCATTCTGTCATATTTTCAATAATTTAAAAGAAAAACAAAAAGTTTCCCCAGTCTTTCTACAATTACAATCTAAGGCCAACCCAATGGGTGCTTAAGGTCAAACCCATGTCAGTGGAAGTTGAATGTGATCATGACTGGTTGGCATCAACTCTGCTTTAATACAATCCTTTTGAAAAGCATGCTACAGCTAGGTCCAATGGCAGTCATAGCTTTTGAGGGTTTTTGACTTGTATGTTAATATAATATCTCCATAACAACTGTAAGGTCCATGCTATAATCTCCCCTCATTACTGAAGAGGAATCTGAGACTCAGAGGTGAAGCAACTTCTCCCCGCAACACAGCAGATCTGGGACTTGATCCCAGCAGATATGGGACTTGATCCCACATTTGTAACCTCTGTTCTAGTGGCACTGCACTCAGTAGTGGTACTACACAATGAGAAAGAGGTCTGGGGATCACAAGAGTTGGGGTTTGAGTCATTCTAACTATAAGCCTCTGCAAACTCAAGAACTTGTCGAGCCTCTGCTTTCTACTCCATCATATTGAGATGGCAACTCTGGTACTCTCCCTGCATAAGAAAGCCCAAGCAGGAGTCCTCATGACCTTTCTTTTACAAGATACAGCCAAGACTACAGGCCCCAGACTTGTCTGCAGCCCTAACCCCTTAGAATTCTCAGCCTCAGGTTTCCCCAAGAGAAGAACACAGGCTCTAATTTATTCCTAACAAAAGTCACCAACATGCAGTGAACTCTAGGTTAAGAAAATCTGTGTTATAGTTTCACCAAGTAATTTTTTTTTTTTTTTTGCAATTCTAGGTAATTTTAAGTCTTATAGAAGAAAATAGTCAAAGAAATTGTTTAAATGTGCAAAAGAAAAACAACACCATTCAAGCAGAAGTGAGAGTTCCTCACTGGAAAGCTTCATTTGGATGACATTTTTAAAACAACAACAACAACAAAAATCATTCTTACCATTGTTTTCAAGCCTAAGATGAAATCTATTAGCCACAGGAGCCAGTGTGTATGATGTTACTGGACTATAGCCATTGTCCAATGCCCACTTCAACAGGTTCTCTTGGGTGGAAGGAATGTCATCTCTTATTGATTTGGTCATTGTCATAGATCTTTCACCTTCTTTACCAAAGCCAATACTATTGGGAGCCTAAAGATAATAGCAAATTTTCACTCATGAGTCTAAAATGAAACAGTGTTTTAAATAATAATTAAATACCTGAAATAAATAGATTCTGGGTGGTATTTGAGGGATTATTTATTCTTTTGATCTCTATTTTCCTTGGGCTAAGAACATTGATATAACCTTTAATAGCAGATAAAGAGAGACATGTATTCATACTATGTGATCACATTATTTTAGATGGCTTATATCAATAAAAATAACCCAACAGCTAAGTAGATACATACTAAATATACCTAATCTGTTACCATAAAACTAATTTAATGTTTATATTATCATCATCATCATTATAATTAATGGGGATGAAACCCATGAACTTGAGCATGCTTGGCATGAACGACATCTCCAACCCAATGATCACATTAGGCTGGGTCGGGGAGGTGCTGGATATTGAACCCAGGCTCACTTTACCACTGAACTACATCATCAGCCATTTTTATTTTTTTATTTTGAGACAGGGACTCACTAAGTTACTGAGGCTGACCTCAAACTTGCAATCCTTCTGACTCAGTCTCCAGAGACACTGGAATTACAGATATATGCCACCATGCCTAGCTCCAATGTTTACATTATTAAAAAACAATCTCAAAAGTATATGCCAAACTTTCCTTTTTTATTTTTATTTAAAAGTATGTATAAAGTATACGTGCACATTATGTTGCCCACAAATGTCTGTGCTTCTACTTCTTGTATCCCCAATTTTAAACGAAACATGACACAATCTACCAATTCAGTGTGGAGATGATCCCAACTTTATAAACAATTAAATGCCACATGGCAAAACAACCAATGTTTATATTTCATCTATTGTTTATGATTAATTTAGCAATTCTGTAATTGTATGCATTTGCCAATTCTCTTAACTATGTTTACATTTTATATCCTAAAATACTAAATAAGGTCATCACTCCTCTAAAAACACAATATTTTATACAGTAAGACAAGGAGGTCATAAAATTCGCTTTCACTGGGCAATCAGTAAAAAAACTAAAATAACAGATATAAATGTACTCTGAGTAACCAGGTCATAGAAGGTAAATGTCAATGTCACCTTCTGACTCTTACAGCAGTGACCTTGACAGAAGAAAGGAAGCTGAGTGCTTGGAGAGGGACCCCAGTGGGAAGGCACATTTTTAACAACTGCTCCAACCAGGCTGCAAAGTCCTTCCAGCCTGCAGATTATACCATTTTCATGCTGAATAAAAATCACTTTAATTTCCATGCCCAATGATTTTCTCCTGCATATATGCAGCATTTTTCCTAAATTCCTCATTTGCTTCCCATTCTGTTTGCCCTGAACATGACTAAATATTAATCCTTTCCCACTGTAAAACCATAAAAGATTCACAGGCTCTAAGTTCTCTTGGCCTCTTTGGTTGTGGGAGTTTGGCTGAAGACACATAGATTTCAATTAAAGCTTAAAGGATCTCACCCGGTATATTTCTCTATTAACCAAAGTGCTTATCCAAGGGAAATCGGCCAAACTGACCAGTCACAACCACTGCTCACAGAGGAACCAGGTGGAGTTTTAACCAAGTTCTGCAGCCCCCATTCCTAAACTCAGTTTCATAGATTTAGAATGGTTTAGCTCTTGGCCTAATTAAGAGAAAACTCCTTATGGGAAAACAAGGTTAAAAAGAAAGAGGGAAAGGAGAAGTTGGAGGAAGAGAAAGAAGAAAGAAAAGGAAAAAGGAAGAAATAAAGAAAGAAAAAAATTAAAATGAAGTAAAGAAGGATCCGATTTGTTCTTAGAACTTTTTACTCGTTTAGTCAACAGTGGTTTCTTAGGCTCAGCTCCTTCCAGCCTTTCAAAGTAGCAGGTTGTTTTGATTGGCGGGAATCACAACCTTGGCCTAAACAATACTGGTTGGCCTCATCTGCCCTAGTCTTTCATGTCACTGGACAGCTGAGGAAATATTGTATTTCCCGAATACTCTCATCATAGCTGCCACCTGTCCTTTTGAACCAATACGGAGTAATCTGTTTACACCTTTCAACATTAAATCTGGAAGCTGTCAGTATACCTCATATCAATTATGGCTCAGAATTTAAAAGGGTCTATCAACACATTTGTGAGGCAGCAAGGCTTGGGACAATGACAGGAAAGATGATTCTCAGCACTGGGCAAATTCCTCACCCTGTATTTCTGGGAATCCCTAGGCTTTTTCCAACCTTAGTGGAGCTACTCTCCAATAGGAGTGTTTAAGGGGGTCTCCAAATACCACCACCATCTTTCCCAGCCACATCTTCACGAAAGATGATGAGCTAGGAAGATTCTAAAGTTCCTGCCCCACCCCTGTCACATTAGCGTCAGAACCGAAGGTGTAGGGAGGAAGTGGGCCAGAGGGTGCAGTGCATATTCTCACTGAGGTTTAAAAAATATCTTTTCTAAGAATAAGTTGGTCATCACCAACCCGGAAGTCCTGAGACCACGTGAAACAGTATAAGAGAAAAATTCTAATAAGATTCCTTCATCCATTCTTACATCCTGGAGGTTCCTCCTGCTCTAGAAGTGATTATGTATTGTCTATAGGGGACCATTGTCCACAAGGGACTTGAGGAAAGAGCCAGATCTGGACCTGGCAAGTGGACACTTTCAGGGTTTCCATTCTCTCTCAGCAAAACCCTTTGCATCTCTTTTGACCATTTTGCCATTTGGAGAGTGCATTTGGCCCATACCCCGACCTCCAACAAACAGGCATAAGCCACACCCATGGGGCTCTTCAAGTTTACCCCACAATTACAATTCTTTTGGTGAACATTTTTCTTTGTTTTCCCTTGTTTAGAGAAGTACCCTAATTGTTCCTATAGACACGCTCTTAAAGAAAATTTTTACGGAAGGAAGATGAACACCCCCCACACACACACCCTTTATGCCAGACACTGTGCTAGGAGCCTTAAATGTATTCTCTAATTTTCCTCCAAGATATAAGGGGAGAGAAGCTGCTATTCCCTTGTTAGAAAAGGAGAACCTGAGACTTGCAGATTAAGTAGCACATGTAGCTGAGAGTTCACGATGTGCATGCTGCATGCCCAATGCTTTAGAGGAAATATCCTGTAGGTAGGTCCTTCACAAATACTTGCTGTTTGGATGAGTGAGTGAGTGAGTGAGTGAGTGAGTGAGTGAGTGAAAAAACAAATGAATAAACTCAGCTAAACCGCACCTTAACTGTCAAGGTGAGTGCTATCTACCCAGTTTACAGGTGAACAGACTCGATGCTCATTTAGGCTGCCCAACATCTACTAGGAGTAATGACAATTAGAGATGGGATTTCAATCCAGTCCTTTCCAGCCCTGAGCCAGGAATCTTTCCACTCTACCATGCCGTCTCAACAGGAAATAATAGAAACAGGGTCTCTATGAGCATGCCTCCCTTTCTAAGCAGGAATTTAAACCTTTGTATTAGCAGGTACCTTTCACCTACAGGAGTCAGAATTCACATCTGAAGTTAGGGGAGTTAGGAAATCACAAAGCATGAAACTGACTGGGAGAATAGAAAAGAACATCATGAAACATTACCTAATTGTTTAGTAATGTTGTCATGCATTGTCCAAAATTGGCCTGCAATAGGAGTACAGCCAAGGAGAGGAATATAAACAGATCTTGCTTGGGATGAGCGATCTCATTTCTAGACTTTCTGATTCATATGAGAGATGGGGACATTCAAAGTGAACTCCAGAACTGCCAGGGACCAGGCACACAAACTCAGGGAGAAAAAGAGCCATTGAAGGGTCAGGCCTGAAAGAATATTTACACAAGAACTCCAGCAGGGAATTAAAATGTACCGTATGTTTTTTGCCTTTCAAAGCATGATTCCCTTTCCTGTTTTTGTTATTCTGAAATTAAAAACATTTGGCTCATGTGCCAGGCAGCAAAAGTAACAGACACCCCAGGTCACCAACACCCCTCATGCCATGCCAGAGAAGGGCAATCAAAATATCTGCAACTTCAGAGAATCACAGCCGGGCTTTGCACTGGACACCAAATTAATTTATCACTGTTACACACGATGGGTCATTACTCTGAAACTTTAAGAAAAGAGTTTTAAAACCCACAGGAACCAAGAACAATTACTTAAAAATTATGATGTGTGTGCTCTTGGCTTTGCACGCTGCCTCCAGTAAGTGCGGTTACATGGCGTTGCCTAGGGAACAGCTGGCTTTGCCCACAGCTGAAGACACAGAAGGTGCCACAAGTGACTGATGCCAAAACCAAAGACAGCCCTCTCCCAAAATATGGAAAACAAAACCCACTCCAACGGATACAACACAGGTACAGAAAGAGAAATGGGTCTACTTTTTAAAAAAGACAATGCATAAAGATTGGAGCCTACAAAAGAGGTGCTAAAAAAGTCAAAAATGGGGAGAAGGATTTTTCTTTAATTTTCAGTATGAATCAGTCCCATATTCTGCCAAATAGTTATTCCCCTAATGATATCTGAGATAAGATTTATTTCACCAGACTTCAACATTCAACTTTTTAGGAAACTAGCTGCTATTTCACCTTATGCCAACCAGCTAAGCCTCTTAGGTTTATGTATGACCTTCATAAAATAAAATGCATAAGAAATAGGCATACTTGAAGGTCCCTAAGAGCTAGAAGCAAGCAAAAAGTTGTGCCAAAACCACACAATTAACCCAAAAACATCTATAATGTGACTTGGGGTCAGCCTAATTTCCCATATCTTACCTAAGTACTTAATCCCAAAGTAAAAGCTGCTATTCGGGGTCATAATACTGACACACTATGAGTGAGAAGCGTTCTAGTACATTTCAGGAATTTCACAAATGAGGCAAGTGAAGTTCAGAAAAGCTAAGGGGCTTGTCCAAGGTTAGTTTATAAATGGAACACCCAGGACTCAAACCCAGATCTGTCTTGCCCTGAGAGGCCCATTTTAATCACCACCACTGATCACCCTTATCAGAAGAAGCCAAGAAGCAGCCTATTTTGTAAAGTAAAATATAGCTGAGAGAACTTAGAGAGTCCAACGAGTCAGAACCTTTACAAAAATAACATGCATAGGCACATTTTAAATTACTGCCATTCATCAAGACAAATGTGCAACCAACTTACAATCACTTTCAGGTTTCCCTTAACATCAAAAGATTTGATCACCCAGTTGACAGACTTTTTGCACTTCAAGATCAAGATGAGATTTTTGACCACCTCAGGATCCTCTCGAGAAGGTCTTATGTCAATTATTATATCCACCTGGAAAGCACTGTGAATGGAAAACAAAGGCAAAGTTAGGACCGAAATGCCAGAAAGTTGCAACTATCTCCTCTCTTCCAAGTCTTCATGTTTCTAGTGTCTGGCCAGTTGATTAAAAAGCTGGAGTTGATCCCAGGCAAATGACATGTGCAAAACAGATTGTTATTGCACACATAACAAAATGGTTTTACATAACAATAGAAACACAAGCCTGCTGAAAATTAGTCACTCAAATTTTCTCTTCTTTGCAGAGCAAAAAGAGGCGGTTACTTAATGCAGCCACTGTTTGAAATGGACTTGAACAAACCAGAGAAGTTTACTTTTGAAGAAGAACTGTTCCTTCTTCAACCTTGAACACCTTCAATGTGTAACTTTCCAACTAGGCTATATGCTCAAAGTCCTTCAAAACCAGAAGTGGGTGGCAGTTCAGTGACGGGGACAGCTGGTGGCAGGGAGGAGGAAGTCATGGTGGTAAAGGGAAAAAAAAAGAAAAAAGAAATAGGAAACTTCAAAATAAAATGAGAGGTAAAAGACTGGAGAATTTCTTGCCTTATATAAGTTTTGCTCAAGCTGTTAAGAATTGGTAAGAATCAGATCTGTATTTATTTTCCCAAACTTCTGGACATAGTTATTTAAAAACAAACAAACAAACAAACAACAACAAAAAAAAAAAACAGATGGTCAACCAAGGGATTGCTAGAACACTGATGAATGCAACCCAAACTTTTAAGAATTCAGTATAAAAGAAAAAAATCACTAAACAATAACATCTCTATCATTCTGAATTTAAGTGGAGAGTCCTTGTCTTGGTTTTATATACTTGTAACGCATAAAGGGCTTAAAGGGCATGGTATACTCAAATGTAGCCTTGGGCTTAATATCTAAGCAAATTTGCCAGAGTGCTTCTGTATCCTTTTTAATTTTCCACAAAATTCTTCATGTGGAACAGAATGGGATATTACCAAAATTGATCTGTAATTTATTCACTTTTGAAATCAAAACTTGATTATAATTTTAACTTTGAAATCCCACTACAAGTATCTTTAAATTTTTGAGTCATGAACCCAAAAGAAATACAGGCTAGAGTGGGAGAAGGAACTATTTTTGTTTCCTTTTTCTTTCTTTTAAAAACTTCTCTAATTATTCTCAATAGGGAGGGTCAAATTTCTGGCCCAGGGGTAGGAAGGAGTTGGGGGGAGGTGGGCGAGAACATAGGAGAGAGGCAAGCTATATCTAATAGATTCTGGGCAGATCACCATGAAAGCCCCTCCCAAAACAGACATGCACGGAGCTTTAAGGAAACAGCTCTCAGTGCAGACACTATGAACAGAACTTTATTAAAATCAGAATTTTACCAAAATGAAGGCATAAAAATAGGAAAAGAAGAACTTAAATTATCACTATTTGCGGTAGACATGATTCTATACCTAGAAGACCCAAAAGGGTCTACAAAAAAACTACTAGAACTAATAAATGAATTCAGCAAAGTGGCAGGATATAAAATCAACACGCATAAATCAAAGGCATTTCTGTATATCAGCGACAAAACTTCTGAAACGGAAATGAGGAAAAACACTCCATTCACAATATCCTCAAAAAAAATAAAATACTTGGGAATCAACCTAACAAAAGAGGTGAAAGATTTATACAATTAAAACTACAGAACCCTAAAAAGAGAAGTAGAAGAAGATCTTAGAAGATGGAAAAATATACCCTGTTCATGGATAGGCAGAACTAACATCATCAAAATGGCGATATTACCAAAAGTTCTTTATAGGTTTAATGCAATGCCAATCAAAATCCCAGCGGCATTTCTTGTAGAAATAGATAAAGCAATCATGAAATTCATATGGAAAAATAAAAGACCCAGAATAGCAACAGCAATTCTAAGCAGGAAGTGTGAATCAGGCGGTATAGCGATACCAGATTTCAAACTATATTACAGAGCAATAGTAACAAAAACAGCATGGTACTGGTACCAAAACAGGCGGGTGGACCAATGGTACAGAATAGAGGACACAGAGACTAATCCACAAAGCTACAACTATCTTATATTTGATAAAGGAGCTAAAAGCATGCAATGGAGGAAGGATAGCATCTTCAACAAATGGTGTTGGGAAAACTGGAAATCCATATGCAACAAAATGAAACTGAATCCCCTCCTCTCGCCATGCACAAAAGTTAACTCAAAGTGGATCAAGGAGCTAGATATCAAATCAGAGACTCTGTGTCTGATAGAAGAAAAAATTGGCTCCAATCTACATATTGTGGGGTCGGGCTCCAAATTCCTTAATAGGACACCCATAGCACAAGAGTTAATAACAAGAATCAACAAATGGGACTTACTTAAACTGAAAAGTTTTTTCTCAGCAAGAGAAACAATAAGAGAGGTAAATAGGGAGCCTACATCATGGGAACAAATTTTTACTCCTCACACTTCAGATAGAGCCCTAATATCCAGAGTATACAAAGAACTCAAAAAATTAGACAATAAGATAACAAATAACCCAATCAACAAAGGGCCAAGGACCTGAACAGACACTTCTCAGAGGAGGACATTCAATCAATCAATAAGTACATGAAAAAATGCTCACCATCTCTAGCAGTCACAGAAATGCAAATCAAAACCACCCTAAGATACCATCTCACTCCAGTAAGATTGGCAGCCATTAGGAAGTCAAACAACAACAAGTGCTGGCGAGGATGTGGGGAAAAGGGTACTCTTGCACATTGCTGGTGGGACTGCAAACTGGTGCGGCCAATTTGGAAAGCAGTATGGAGATTCCTGGGAAAGCTGAGAATGGAACCACCATTTGACCCAGCTATTGCCCTTCTCGGACTATTCCCTGAAGACCTTAAAAGAGCATACTACAGGGATACTGCCACATCGATGTTCATAGCAGCACAATTCACAATTGCTAGACTGTGGAACCAACCCAGATGCCCTTCAATAGATGAATGGATTAAAAAATGTGGCATTTATGCACCATGGAGTATTACGCAGCACTAAAAAATGACAAAATCATGGAATTTGCAGGGAAATGGATGGCACTAGAGCAGATTATGCTTAGTGAAGCTAGCCAATCCCTAAAAAACAAATACCAAATGTCTTCTTTGATATAATGAGAGCAACTAAGAACAGAGCAGGAAGGAAGAGCAGGAAGAAAAGATTAACATTAAACAGAGACATGAGGTGGGAAGGAAAGGGAGAGAAAAGGGAAATTGCATGGTAATGGAGGAAGACCCTCATTGTTATACAAAATTACATATAAGAGGTTGTGAGGGGAATGGGAAAATAATCAAGGAGAGAAATGAATTACAGTAGATGGGGTAGAGAGAGAAGATGGGAGGGGAGGGGAGGGGGGATAGTAGAGGATAGGAAAGGTAGCAGAATACAACAGTTACTAATAGGGCATTATGTAAACATGTGGATGTGTAACCGATGTGATTCTGCAATCTGTATTTGGGGTAAAATTGGGAGTTCATAACCAACTTGAATCTAATGTATGAAATATGATATGTCAAGAGCTTTGTAATGTTTTGAACAACCAATAAAAAAAGAAACAAAAAAAAAGATGGTCCATGTGAAAGCAAAAAAAAAAGAATTTTACCAAAATGATAATTATGTTAATAAGACACATTTTTGTAATTTTCTCAACAGAGATAACCTCAGTCAATGGGGATCATGATATAGAAAGAGTGATTGTGTCTTATAATTAATGCTCAGAAATTTAGAACAGGCTTCAGGAACTTATCTGGAATATATGGCACCTGAAGACAGATGCAGAATATAAATTGACACCACTGTGTCCTTACTCCCTCTTTAAAACTGCTGGGACCCACACCTGAAGCACAGATGGATCCCTCCCTCCTGCATCGGGAAGCCTGCACCGCTCTCTACCTCAAGTAAGGAAAGACATTTACTCTCACTTCTCCACAGTTCAGAACACACACACACACACACACACAAACACACACACATTTGCTCACCTGTAAGGGTTAGAGTTGGGGGTGATTAACTCAATGATGTGCACTTCTTTATCCTGGGGCTGGTTGGACATCACACAACCTTCTGCAGCTTTGGGCTGAAGGTACTCAGCAAGGTAATTGAGTGAAAGAAAATTCTTCCCTATGTTGCATGTGGGAGGGAACACTTGGTCTGAAAGTAAAGAATTACAAGGTGATCTGTCAAACCACTGAGCTACCTGTCACCAGAATCAAAGGAAAAAGGTGATGGTGAGACTGAGCCAGTGCATGACACCAGGAACCACAAGACAAAAAGAAGGATCTTAGCCTGTGACCTTCTCAATCACGGCTCTGAAATGTCTGCCACTAAGGTCACCAGTGACCTCCCAATGACCAACACTAGTGGCCTCTTTTTGTCTAAATCCTTTCCTTTCTTTTCCTAGTACCTTTCCTCTGGCCTACGTTTGAGTTCCTTCCACTGGAATGGTCTTCAAACTGTGGTGTGTGTCAGAATCCAGCTTTAGCTCCCATCCCTGGGAATCTGTTCAGAGCATCAACGTGGTGCCCTGGCACCTTTCTATTTTGAAAAGCTCCATAGTCCATCCTGATGTACACAAGGCTGAGACCCTCAGCTCCTTCCTCAATCCCCCTTTTGTCTCCTATTTTCCTAGATGACCTTGGTCACTCCAATGGCTTTCACTTGTACCTGGACTGTCACCCTTTTTTCAAACTGCAGACTTGTACTGCCATTTGTCTACAGAGCATTTCCCACCTAAAAATCTTATATGTATTTCACAGTCAGCATACTCAATATTGAATCTTTTATCTACCCTATGGCCATATATGCTCCTCCTTGGATATTTGTAATTTCAATTAATAGAAGAACCAGTCATCTCATGAATTCTCTGGTCCACACATGTAGCATTAATCACTTCCTCCTGTTTATTCCCCACAGACCTTTCTACCCTGAAGGCTAAAACTAGGAGTTCTGGGGAAACAGGGAGGACAGACTTTCACCTTTCTCATAATCTTGACCCAGACAACTCATGTTTATATGGCACCTTACAGTTTCAAAATGCTTTTCCAAACATCATCGTGTTGAGTGCTGCTCACCACCTCCACCCGAGGAGGAGTGTCAAGGGTCTGAAGACACTCCCTCCACGGCACACAGCATTTTCACAGCACTGGGCTTGATGGGATTTTCATCTCGTGGTTTAAATGTTTAAACAGAACTTGAAAGAAACTGCTGGCAGTCTGACAGCTGGGACCAGTGTCAAGGAAGTTCTAGGTGTAGCAAGATTTTCAGAAGAGGTAATTAATCAGAGACCTGGCACTTTAATCAAACAGATTTCTGCCTTTTTCATTTTAAGGATGGGGTGCCAGGGTTCATATCCGCATGAAAGTCTCACCTGAGAGTAAGGAATCATCCCAGGAAGTTCCGAGTTTGGGTTGACATTACTCCCCTCCCCAACTTGTGCAACCTCCCTGTGCTGAAGTCTGAAGTGCACACTGAGACATCATAGCTCCAACCACTATGGCATCCCCAGCACCAGCCCCAGAATAGAGGGGACAGAGCAGTTCACAAGGACTGCTTATAAGCTCATTGCAAAAGAGCACTGACTCTGCACTCTGCATTGTTTTCTAAAAACACCCGCAGAAAGAAAAGACCAAGGCTTCACAACTTGGGCTGCTAGAACTGCCTTCCTCCACATCTGCTGAGGGTTTTGCCAGATGTGCAGATGAGGTATGCACACCCTGCAGCTGCAGCCCTGTGATATCTCCCCCAGATCACAGGATGGAAAATGATATTAGCAGCCTGGCTGAAATTTAATCGAGAATCAGAAGGTATGTGTATGGGCCAGAGAACTCAAGAGACTAGGACCCTCTTGGGATTGTGGCCTGCATTTCCAGTTCACAGGTGCAACTGGCTTATAGCTGCCATGTAATAGGCACATGGCATAGGTTTCCTGAGTTCATAAACAATGATGTGAGATTTGAAACAAATAACAAAAACTTCACCCATGTTGGGAAGCCACTAGGAAAGGTTTAATTGTTCCAAAGTTGCAGTTAATAAGGGCTCCAATCCAGATGCCATTGTCACTAATTTGAATAAGCTGATCACTTTTGATCACATGTCTGGGTTTTTCCCCCTAAATGACTTTCTGCATACCTGGCATCAAAATTCACACCAAGTGCCAAGTAGAAAGAAAATCACAAAGGAGAATCCCAAGTGGGAACCAAGCAAATTTATGGGGGTCAGGGGGATGAAACATCACATGGTTTATTTGTATTTTAAGAAAAGTTTAACAGATGACTTTGAGACTCAGAAGGGCATATTCTGAGAACAGGAATAAGCCTGGGAGGTAAAGTGAATGCTCTATTTTCCTGCTGTGGAAACTGAGGCTCTGGTGGTAAATTTGTGTTGCTTGAGGCCTAGTTATTAAGACCAGTTGGGATAGAAGTGCTACTCTTCAAGGCTGGGGTTATGGCTCAATGGTAGAGAGCTTGCCTGGCATGTGTGAGGCACTGGGTTCAATTCTCAGCACCACATACAAATAAATAAAATGAAGATCCATTGACAACTAAACAATATTTTTTAAAAATATATTTTTTAAAAAAGTAGTGACACTCCTCAATTCTTTAACTCTGTGTAGACAGGTGAAAACAGTTCTCAGATGTGAGGAGCACCAAAATCACCTAGAGCTCATGAAAACACCAACTGCTAGTTCAACTCTAGTGTTCCTGATTCAGTTGGCCCTGGGAGGCCTAAGAAATTGGATCTCTAACAAGTTTCCAGGCAATGGGATCACACTTTGAGAACTGCCAGGTTTGAGCAAGAGGAAGCTTAAGGCCTGGGGTCCCTGGAAATGAGGAGGGTACAGGCTAGGTAAGGAGGTTGGCTCAGGAGAGTCCAACCCAGGATGATACATTTCCAATGAGCCACCAACTTAATTAAAAAACCTTGCTCTCCTTAGCTGTTCCTCTACATGGTTAGTGACTTAGACTCCAGCTGATGACTGAAGCCAAGTTCCAGAGGCTTCAAACAGTTACTGGACTGGACACCAGGTCTTCAAGTTAATTTCCCCTATTCAGTTTGTACCTTAATCACTTAAGTGACTTAACCCCTCGCCCACAGTGCAGGTGACTGCCATGCTTAGAAACTCATGTACTGTCAGAGGGATGAGGCCTCACAGCTAAATGTTACAAATTTTCTTAGTCTGACAAATTCCAAGGGGTAATCAACATTCTTTCATGCTACCAGAATTCTGCTTCAGAAATGCAGAGCATTGGCCACAGCTTAGAAATTTTATGAAAAGAGATTTTTCATTTTATCTCAATGGGGTTTGACCTCGATGATTACTTACCTGACTACCATGAGAGCCGAGTGAGAAATTTAAACCTTTTGAACCCAACTCTTCTCTAAAACACTTCCTCTCATCCCAACTATACAAGCCTTCATCCACCAGCTCACTTTGATTTTCAGATTATGCTTGTGTGGCTAAGATTTAAAGCAGGCAACAAGCATTAGACTTAAGTCAGGAAACCTAGGTTGAGATTTGGCTTTGCCACTTGCTAGTGATGTGGATTTGAGAAAGTTCACATAACTTTCCACTAAGGTCTCTGTAAAGTGGTGGGAATAATGTCTCCTCCTGGGATTACTCTGGGGTTAAGCGGGGTATATGGAAAGTCCCTAGTGTGGCCTCTGCATCTAGCACACACTCCAACATCAGTATCTGCCTTTCCTGCACCTGTCTCAAAACACTTTAAACCAGCCCAGATCCAAAAAAAAGAGTTGGGAACAAGCATTCAATAACCCTTCTTCTCCTGCCATGCTATTGATGGAGGTATGACAGATGCTGTAGAATCCAACACAAAGCACTGGATGCTAAAGACCTGAAACATAATGTTCACATATCCCCTGATTTTAACAAGGACTCATTCACAAGAGTTATTTCCTAGTAACTTAAGGCATTCCCAATGCAGTCAACTAAAAATAATAATGAAAAGGGTTGTTGTTTTTTTTTCAAAATAATAATAGGCTTTCAAAATTGAGTCATCAGATATTTATATCCCTCTGCAATGTGAGGAAATTTAAATGGGCAATTTCTTATCAAGGCCATATACTTCCTTTCTCCAATGCCTTGTCCTTGCAACAGGCATTAGTGTTAAAAATGTATTTAACACTTTTCCTCTGCTATTGTCCAAAATTTAACTGATATCTCAATACCATAAGCTGATATTGGCTCTAAACAGTTGCAGAATAATAGGGAAGAGGAAGTCCTAGCAACTGACCCATCCTGCCAGCTCCTTCACTGCATCCATTACCACCATCTTCCCCTCCCCCACCCCACCCCCACTTCTCCCCTCCCACTCACTTCTTTTCTGGCTCCTGTGGAGACACATTATCTAAATCCTACACAACAATCTCCCCTTCTCTCAAATGCTACTCTTGGTTTCTCACTTGGTCATTACCAGGCCAGTTTCCACAGAGGAAAGGAAGAAGGGGAGGGGGAGAGAGCAGACCCTGCCAGCTCCAACATTCAGAATCCTATGATTCCTGGCTCAAGCCACCTGGCCTCAGAAAAGAAAACAACAGACTATCATAAATCAGTCATTAACTGAAGCCACTTAAAATTTACCTTCCCCCACTTTAATATAAATATTTCTTGCTATCTTGAGTTCGGTGAATGAAGTCACTGCTCCGTACTCCTTTCGGGCCCAATTTAACAGCTCCTCGTTTCCATGGGGGAAGTTCCTTGCTTCTGTTTCTGCTGTCAAGGAGAAGTTTCCTGGTGAAAACTGGACCACGGAGCCCTCAGACACCTAGAGGAAATAGAATTGCTTGTTTAACATGGCAGGTCACCCAGAGCTGAATGAGTAAAGAAAGCACTTATATGAGACCACCTATGGGTGTTTATCAATACCAGAGTTTCTTTCCCCTTCTCTCTCTCTTTCTTTTCCTGCAGTTGATTCAAGAAATAATCCCATGCCTAGTTCTCCCAGATAATGGCAAAAGTACTCACCCAAGGTATCCCTTTGAACATCGAAAGATCTTTGTGATGAGAGACTACATTGTGCCATGTGAGTAATCATAAGAATTATCCTGGTTATTTTCCTTATATCCATATTGAGAATATACTGTCCAAGTACAGTTGGCCCTCCATTTACATGGGATTCATATCGCTGGATTTAACAAACTACATATTTAAAATATTTTGGAAAAAATTGTACATGTACTAAATATGTACAGAATTTTCCTTATCATTTTTCCCTAAACAACCCAGTATAATAACTACTTACATACTATTTATACAGTATTGGATAATATAAATAATCTAGAAATGATTTAAAGTATATAGGAGAATATGCATAGATTATACACAAATACTAATGTCATTTTATATAAGGGACCCAAGCATCTATGGAACTTGGTCTCCTGGAGATAGAGGTGATCTTGGAGTCAATTCCCCATGGGTACCAAGAGTCAACTGATTGTAATGTGTCTCAAGTCAAGTGGAAAGTGTTGGTGGCCTTATGGGCTTATAATGGGTTTCAGTATCAGGGAAAGTGATCCCAAGGTTTGCTGGCAACTGAGCATGACTTTTTGTGGAAACAGTTGTGACATCTGTGGACAGAGTCACCACAACAGGCACACAGTGAGAGCTCTTTTGTTTTATATTCTCCTAAATTCTGAGATTAGAAGAATGGCCAAAGGTGGTCAATCTTCTACTACATTCCTCTATTTCATCACAATGAGATGAATGTGTACAACAGTTTATTTTGTAAGACCCCCAAATTCGAACAGATAATGAAGTCAAGAGGCTGTTAAGCCAATCCTAATAAAACTTGTAGGATGATTTATGCAAGTCCCACATTACTGTTGGATGTATTTAGATCATCACTGATCTAGAACATCATGGTGCATAAATAATTAACACATTCCAAGGAGGAAAATCATCTTGTTGCTGTGCTATAATCAAACACAGTTGCTGATAAAAATATGCATGTCATTTACTAGCATTTAAAAAATAACTTATCTCATCAAGGTTAAGGTGAAAACTCAAAATGCGGACAGAAAGGTTTTCAAGTCATAGAATTATAAATGTCTTACATGAAATTTACCAGGAAACTTCTCCTTAACAAAAACTGGGACTGAGGTTGTGGCTCAGTGATAGAGCGCTTGCCTAGCATGTGTGAGGCACTGGGTTCAATCCTCAGCACCACATATAAATAAATAAAACAAAGGTATTTAAAAAAAAAAGATGAAGCTTATCTTAAAAAAAAAAAAAAACTAAGCAGTTTCTGAAGGGGTTATAAATAGTCAAACCAAAAAGAAAGTTGAGTGCATGATTGTGCAAATGGCTCTATCACTTACAACAGCATTACAACACTAACATACACACAACAAAATAGTACTGACCCAACTAGTGTGCTAGGCATTAATATTTTCTACTTAATCATATATATATATATATATATATATATATATATATATATATAATTAAATAAAAATTTAAAAAATACACACACACACGTGTGTGCGTGTGTGTGTGTGTGTATTTTAATGCTGGCAAACAATTCCATGAGTGAATTGATTCCATGAGTTAGTTACTAATGCTGTGACCTCTACCTTGCCTGCAAACTGGATTCATCTGAAGAACATTTTTTAAATTTATTTTTAATGGGTATATTATAATTATACATAAAAGTGGAATTCATTGTGATACATTCATATGTGCACGTAACATAGATTGATCGATTTCATCCCACAGTTCTTCCCTTCTCCCATTTCCCCCTTTCCCTTCCTCTATTCCCTCGCTGTCCCTTCACCTGGAAAACTTCTACATATTCTGATGCCCAGGCCATATCCAGGTGGGTGAGAATCTTTGGGTGGGGACCAGGCATCAACATTTTTTTAAAGCACCCTGGGTGATTCCCAAGTCACACAGTCACCAGTGGTGTGGAAGGCACCAGGAGAGCACAGGCTCAGTGTGGCTTCTTAGCCAAGAAGTCCTGCTCTACACTTGGGCAACTCATACCAGCTGTTATCACCAAACACCTTCTGGATCCCTATCTTGAATCCCCAAATGACAGCTCCTTCTATGATAGAAATCAGGCTATTTCATACTTATTGAGGGCTTCACAGTTTGTACTGACTTGGAAATAAACTGTTTCACAATAGTGAGCATTAACTGCCTACCAACTATACATTATGCACCCTAAAGTGCTATCAAGTGTGGTAATGACAATTTCTAAGTGTCCTGATGCCAGTTCAAAGCAAAACCAGCAGGGAACATTTAGCTTTGACTTTGGCTTGATGTCATACACACATCAAAAAGCCTGTGAGCCATCTTCCCGCCTAACACTAAACCTGCCCACCTATGGGTAACTCCCCTGACACATGTCACATAGCTGCTCATCAGCACTGAACCTCAGGCCATCTTTATCTTGTTGTCTGACTTTGCCCCACATGTAAAATCTTCTATGCACTAAAAAGCATTTGATAAAAGCATTTACAAAATTAAAAACAAACACACACACAAAAAACATTGTTATCAAGTCTGGGGGGTGGGATGGAAGACAGTTGGGAAACCAAGTACAGAGGCCTTTGTCCCACTGCCAACAGTCTGGCTTTGTAGGCAAGAATCCCTAAATGTTCTGCTGCTTGTGTCCTCATTCACATTACATCCATTAAATATGACCCTATGTTTTAAATATGTTTCACAAAGAATACATTTTTTTTCCACAGTGAAAGAAGTGACATATCACACTACTACATGCCAGAAGCCAGAAAGCAACAGTGTAAATAAGACAAGAAATGAGATGCAACTTCAGAATGGAGGGACAACTGCTGATGCATGGTCAGCCCTGCCTGAGCACTTCTCCTCCCAAGCCAGCAGCCATAACGTTCACAGACTCAGGGCTAAAGAATTTGGAAACAAAATTACCGCCACTCCTCAGGCACATTCCAATAAGAAGAAACCAAAGCTGCCAAGAGCAGTGAGGTGTCTCTGACTATAGGTCAGTGGAAATTTCCTGCTTCTGCAATGGTTTAGTCAGCACTGTCTCCTGACTGCCAGCTCTCCAGGGTCCAGAAAGGCCTCCCCCACGCCCACAGAGTTGCAGAAGGTATTGTTCAGGTGTTTCTCCCCCTTGATCTCCAGAACCTGTGAGGTAGGCTACCAGGATTTCCACAGTACAGAGGAAGGAAACTCCAAGAGGCTAATGGTCTACCTCAGGCCAGAGAGTCAACACCACCAGGAGAGGACCAGAATGTGGGACTTTTGATGCACAGTGAGCTTCTGTTTGAACCCTTTCTGAAAGAACTCACTAGCTTCCAAAGTGGATTTCTGCTCTTTCTTTCTAGTTGTAAGATTCACCTTCTGTCCACTAGTCTGAGCCACACTTATGAAACTAAGGAATTCCTTCCTCTTTCTTCTATGAGATAAGCCTTCCAATATCAGAAGATCTTTATCACATGTTGATTCTTCAGGGCAACATTCCCAACTCCACCCCAGATGCCCTGGTTGTCAGATCCTCACCAGTATAGGCTCCAAAATATGCTGGGACAAGATTAAGGGTCTCCAGGTATGGTTTGACAAATGGTGGTTAATTTTAGGCACCAACTTGACTATACCATGGGGTGCCCAGATATTTGGTATCAAACGTTGTTTTTAGTGTTTGAGGGTATTTGGGGATAAGATTCACATTTAAATCAGTAGACTGGATAAAGCAGATTTCCTTCAGGAATGAGTGTGATTATCCAATTAGTTAAAAGCCAAAATAGAAAAAAAGGCTGACCATCCCAGAACAAGAGAGAATTCTCCCACCTGACAGCCTTCCTACTGAACCATCATCTCTTTTGGGTTCTAGAGACGTCTCCTGGGATCCAGACTGAAACTGGGACAACAGCTCTGCAGATTTAGGGTTTGCCACCTCCATATGAACAAGTGCTAGAGAATAAGAAAAACTGAGAAAGAGGAGAAGGGTTTTATACTTTTAACCATTGTAATGGTTAAAAAAGAGAAAGTCAATGAGAAGTTAAAGACCTGAAGGAAATGAAAGAGCAAGCCACACAGGCACCAGGGGAAGGAGCTTTCCCAGGGGAGATGCAGTGAGTGCAAGGTCTGGCATGGCAAAGGGCCAGCAAAGAGGCCAGCATGGCTGGAGCACAGAAGTGAGGGGGGACTGGAGGGAGAAAAGGTCCCAGAGACCAAAAGGCCCTACAGGACCCTGTAGACCACTGCAAGAACTTGAGTGTTAGTCTGGGCGAGATGGGCCACCACTGAAGGTTTATTAAAACATCTACCAAATGTTTTATCAGCTATGTTGTCTAGACTGAGGGTGAGGAGGAGCAGTAGACCATCCAACTCCTGGAATACTCCAGGTGACTTCGTGCTGCTATAACAAACCTGAGGCTGGAGAATTTATAAACAGCAGACATTTATTTCTCTGAGTTCTGAAGACTGGGAAGTTCAAGATGAAGGTGCTGGCCATTTCAGTATCTAGTGAGAGCTGTGGCTGTCCCCTGCTTCCAAGATGCTGCCTTGTTGCCATGTCCTCACATGGTAGAAGATGGAAGACCAAAAGGACCGAACACTGCTACACAGCCTCTCTCATAAGGACCTTTTCACGGGGGAGGCATCCTCAGGACCTCATCATGTCCTAAAAGTCCTCCTTTTAATGATACTGCATTGGAGAGTAGATTTCACCATGAATTTTTAGGGGACATGTATATTCAAGCCACAGCCCCAGGCAAGAAATGGTGGCAGGTCACACAGGGGAGGTAGTAGTAAAGATAATGATACCTAAACCTATGTGTC